CTTGATTTTAAAACATATTTTAACAAAAATTGACGATGGTCAAAGCTTATCTGAGCTTACAAAGTCTATCAATGTGTTAGAAGCTTTGTATTTTATAAAAACAGCATGGAATAAAGTAAATTCCTCTACAATTAAAAACTGTTTTGGCAAAGCTGGATTCAGAAAAAGTGAATGTAGCTCAGAATTTGCTGAGCAAAATTATTGCGATGCTGAAGACGATCTGCCCTTAGCGACACTTGCTCAGTTACTGCGACATGCCAAACATTTAGGAGTAGCAGATCCCCAGAAAGTAGATAATTTCCTGGCCATAGACAATAACATAACAACAGAAGAAAATGCCATTGGCAACTTTTCGAATTTGGATGTAGGAAGCCCAGGCCAACTTGAATATGGTAGTCCAAACGACTCAGAAGAAGAAGTGGAACTGGTGGACTCACTAAGCGGTTCAAAAACGATAAATTCATATGGGGAAGCTCTAAATCATATTTCTATATTGAAAAAATTTGCTAAAGATGTTTTCTCTGCATTTCAACATTTGAAAAATTTAGAAAGTTATTACGAAAATTGTCTCCTTCAGCAAAAGATGGTGAAATTTCGTCAGACAAACATTTTAAACTTTTTTCAACAAGCTAAAGAATAATGTTTTTTTAAATTCTCGTACCATGTATTGAAGCATTTATGTTTTTGTATGCGTATATGTACATATATTATATAGATATATAGCATAAATACATACTTTAAAAATGTGGCGAGTTTCTGTTTCATTTTTCTCATGATTATAATACCTCATTTCCTCATGATTATATACCCCGTTATTTATACTCTATACTTACATACTCTCTTTTAAACGGACACCTCCCATAAGCGGACAAAAGTTACGGAACCGTGAGTGTCCGCATATGGGAGCTTTCACTGTATTTACGAAATGTGTTTCACACAAATTTTCTTCGACCGATTTGGGCCTTTCCGTAGGTATCTCCTCAATCTCCCAGAATGAGGCTAATTGACGTTGAATATTATCATTGTTCACAGAAAGATTGCAAATCGACGTGCACCTATTGTTGCTAGGATATAAACTTAATGGCCCAGATACTACCCATCCCAGGACGGTTTTTTGAAGCAAAGGCATGTCTATGCCCAACTTAACTTGACCTATGCAAAGTAACTCATAGAATACTTCGATACCAATCAACATGTCTATTTTACCTGGCAAATAAAAAGACGGATCTGCCAACCGCAGATTTTTCGGAATATTCAACAGATTTTATCAATCCTGATCATTGGTATGTCATTCGTTATGGTTGGTAACACATGAAAAGTTAAACATCTACTAAAGTCATTAATCATCGATCTTATTTCCAAATCGCACCTTGCATTGGCTATTAAAGCATTTTCATTGAGCCCAGACACCGCAAATCGGACATTCGTAGTTGTTATACCTAGTCGATTGCAAAATTCTTCAGTGATATAATTTGATTGACTCCCCGAGTCTAAAACCGCACGCCCATGGCACGACTTCCCATCCTTGTCTAACACTTCTACAATGGCGGTGGACAGCAAGGCCTGGCTTGGCGCGTACGACGACAAGCACGCAGCCGCGATATCGCCGCCGTTGGTGGGTTGGGGTTCCTCAACTGCTTCATGCGACGGTGCCGGCGCTTGTTCCGATTTCTGACTTTCTTTGGGAGTGTTACTTTTATCGAAATGTAACAACGTGTTATATTTAGCTTTGCAACGCTTGCAACCAATTGACCTGCACTGTCTGCTGAAGTGCCCTAACCTGAGACAGTTCATACACACCCTTTTGTCTCTTAATTTGTCATACCGCTCTGACACACTTAATTTATTGAACAAAGGGCAATTCTGCACAAAATGATTTTCATTACAAATCACACATTTGGGCGCTGTAGTCGATGCTAATCCTTTGCTCGTGGTCGCATTCCGACGACCTCTAACCATTTTATCATTATTAGCTTTGGACTCTATTGTTTCCAGTACATTTGCTCTGCCCTGCAGGAACTCTTGCATATCCCGTAACTTGGACTTATCAGACAAACGTGACGCAGACCTTTCCTACTCCCTCGAGGACGACTTATCTAACTTCGTAGATATGATGTAGATTATGAGTGTGTCCCATGAATCTACCTGTTCACCTAACTGTCCAAGGGACTTCAAGTGTTTGGATACAGTGTCGATGATACGCCTAATATCGCAGGCCGCTTCTCTAGCTATCGGAGTTATATTGAAAATCGACTGCACGTGATTATGAGTTAGCAATTTAACATTGTCATATCGCTCTATTACAGCATCATACGTTTTTGGAGTTTGCTGCCGTGAAATCTATGCATTGAATGGAATTTACGGCATCTCCCTGCAATGCAGCCTTCAAGTAATGAATATCAGTTATACTTTCATTTTCATGTATAAGTGAATTATAGATTTCCCGGAATTCAACCCAAGAGTTGGCATCGCCGCTGTATTTCGGCAGTTCGATTTTCGGCAAACGAACGTCGATTTGAACGATCCCCTCTCCTCGGGCACGCGCACTGCTCGCAGTGGAAGGGACGGAATTCGCGCTGTTGCCAGACTTTACTTCTGATTTGTCGTTTATTGTCGATTTTGCCAAACCCAAATAGAAATAGCGATCAAAATAGTTTTCTACGACTTCACGTTCCGCGATTTGCTCATCCAGATCATCATCAAGAACTAAAGATTCAATTTGGCACTGTATTCCTGCAAATTCCTCATTTGTCGCGTCTATTCTTTCAATTTTCTGCCGTATTTCAAACAAGGTTCCATCGTCTAAAGATTCCGTGGCAGATACATTATCTAAATACTTTTTGAAATTAGGAAGTCGCGCTTTTATTACGCCTCTCTGGCGCACCAAATTCGACAGATCATACGACATATTTTACAATTTGCAAAGCACTAAATTCTAAAGCAAAGCAAGCAATTCTAATAAGCGTCTTGAAATCAACGACCTTAAGGGCAAGATAATGGGCAAAAGGGAATCAAGGACTCACCGCACCCCTTTGCAAGGCTAATCTCGAATCTCGCTGGTACTGGTAGTTCAGGTTCCAACTTGATATTCGGCCGAAGGTCCAAAATGTTGAGAGAGGTAGTTGGCCTTGGGGGTGAAATAACAGCTATTTGTTCCTTTTCCGGTGGTGAGTCGGGTTTATTCTCTTTGTACAGTGTTGTAGTCTGCTACTAGACGTTTCACAACTTACAATGGGTATTTAACATTACATTTAACAATTTTAGAGACAGTTTTGTGCTCTTAGAAATAAAACATGTGGACTGTACTAGTTCTCTCAACTCTTCCCGTTCCCACTGTTGCCACGTCGGGCAAATTGTTGGTAACACGCGGAAACAATCATGGAGGTGGAAACCCTACCTTGGAATGTATAAGATCCGGTGTTATGACGATCCTGACCTTTCATTCCGACCTAAAATGAAACGCCGTTAAGGCCGATCCGGAATTGATCCTAAGCAGATTCGACACAATTCACAATTAAAAAATGTGTACACTCAAAATAAAACCATCATTTGGGCGTAGAGAGTAAACTAACGCATGTTTTCAACAAGCACCTTAATTCAATGAACTGTTGCAACATAATGCCAACGAGGCAAATTGCCGTCAGTGTTGATAGGCAATGCGGTGATGAGCTTCGCTATCCTTTTCAGTGGAGATTAATGAAACATGAAACGAGAACCAGCGGAAGTTGTGTTCTCTAAGCACAATGACGCTTATGGTCAAATGTCATGTCAAGGAGTCGTGTTCCGAGTATACCAACGACATTCCATCCTAACACTTTCGACACAGTGTTGCTTGATGAATGATTATTACAATTTTTGTACGATAACCGGGAGACGAGAGAGAGCGACCTCCCCCCTCTCCCCTCAAAAGATCACTGAGGAAAGGTAAATACGCTGAAAATGATTGTCTCCTCGCTCTTCAATTTTCAATAGTCGGTTACCCTCCTTCCCGTCTTCCCGTTGTCACAACATTCGCCAGAAGTCCCGCCACCTCAAAATGTCCCTCTGGATCCGCCGCCTGTGAGTGAACTTATAGTTTAGTTAATATTACACGTGTCTAACAACCCCCCATCCTCACCCCCTGCTTCTCAATGGATTCTTGTAGTATTATAATGGGTAGACCCCTTCAACTTTGCTCTTCAGTTATCAACAGGCAGGCTACTTATACAGGGTGACTTCGAAGTTGAGTCATTTATTTTAACAGTGAGTAGATCTGATCAAAAGAAATGTTTTTTTCCTTTACCATTTTTATGGTAAAATTAAAGTAACAAAGTTATAGCCCTTTGGAAGTTTGAGTACCGCCCTGCCTATTATATGCTCGTGTTTGGCGACAAAGGATATAATCCGCCTGACCGGTTCATCGCATCGGAAACAAAAAAGCGAAAGAATTTGAAACGTTTATCACGATGTTTTTCGTCAGTCGATAACGCGTAAGTGAATAGTAGTGTGTTGCGTGGTTCAAACGAAATCAAAAATGGCACATGTTTACGAAAATGCTGAACTTGTGGACATGATTCTTATTTACGGGGGGGCAGTCTTTACAAAATGCTCCCGGATGCATCACGGATTTACGCGAATCGGTTTCCCAATCGAGTGCAACCAACCCCTCGTGCCTTTGTTAATGTAGTACAAAGGGCTCGTGAATCAGGTGACTTAAGACCTCACAGGTGAGGGCATGCTGCTCCAAGACCGCACGATCAAATACAGGTCCGCACTGAAGTACTTGTCGGGAGGATACTTTATTAAACAAGGTAACATTTTTTTTTATTTTTTTTTTATTTTTACACACATATTTTGGTTTATCTTCCTTCTACAATCATTATCTGAAAATTAATGACTCAACTTCAAAGTCACCCTGTATATAATAGTATAGCAATCTCAGATTTATATGTAGAACTGACAACGTTTCGGGATATTAATGCACAATCTGGCAACAATGCCGCACTCTCAAAAAATGACTGCTGACAACCATACAAGTCACAACGCCATTGAATAGCATGGGATTAAATCTTCTTCAGTGTATATGTTTTGTGAGGTCAACACTGGTTATATGTCAATTTGAAAATGCAATGCAATAGCAATACAAAATTGTGATTGTGCTTGTGGCGGCGAAGAAACCGGCTTGAACTTTTCATTTTTAGCATTTTACTCTGCAAGAACCCTTGAGTCATTGATTTTATTACACTATAAGATGTCAGCATTCCATACCATCAAGCAGTTAGAAGAGCGAAACGTTCCAAATGAAATTAATTTCATGGTTTGGAGCGATAAGATGGATCTCGTTGCATTTTCTAACATAAAAGGTAACTGCATTCATGAAACATAATTACTTCATTTACATGTCTTCGAACGATGTGCCTTATGGAACTAAGATTGTAGCATTTAGGATTTCAAATGTAGTTCAATAACATGACACAGGGTGGGCCATTTCAAGTTAATAGGCTATGCAAAAAAATGTATGAACACCTTATCGAATTTCTGGTTTCATCAGGAATGCTGAACGTTGACCTTGAAGAATAAAACAATATCATTTAAATAACTTCCACAGCTAGCCCCACAGTGCTTTATCTGGCTACCCCAACTTTTCAAGTACTTTTTTGATTAATTGAACTTGAACTTCTTGAATGGCAGCTTCAATTTCGTGTTTTAAGTCCTCAATTGTTTCTGGCAACTTTTGGCTTCTGCCACAGATCACATGCACTTGCAGCAGCTCTGAATTATCTTTGATCTTGGTGGCACCAGCTATTCAATTAATGTCCTACCACAGGAACCTGTAAGACTTGTTTCCCAAGCTGCACAAATAAAAAATAAGGTAAATTCATCTAATAACGACCCATTAAAAAGTCGATCCTATTACCGACCACTTTGCCATCATCTAATTTACAACAAAATTATTTGATCAAATCAAGATCTACTTAAATTTCCTGCCTTGCTTTAGACGCCTGATACATGTAAAAGTGTTCCTGCGCAGTTACAATTACATATTCAAATCAGATCTGTCAAAAAACCATTAGTTAGTCGACGACCTTCGTTTAGTCGAGTGTTGGGTGTTGCAAAAGACTGTTATGGTAAGTATCAAAGAGTTAATTATTAAGCTTTTAAAATAAAAATATTTACATTTACCCAAGTATTCAAGTGAAATATTGTGCTCATATTCATTTTTTCTCAAAAAAATATATTACTAGTTAAAAAAATTGGACCAAATTTATGAAAACTGCTTAAAATCAATAGGGCGGCCATAGGGTAACATATTTTCCTATTACCGCCTTATATATCGCTGTTACGATTATTCTTCGCATTCAATAAGGAGACATTTTTGGAATAAGTATTACTTTCTTAATCTTCAAATTAACTTGTTTTGTACTTAACATGGCGAAGTATCTTATTTTCTATTTCCGACCTATATAATATTTCTTCTTCTTCTTAATATTTAAAGTAGAATTCAGTCTTGCTTATATCCATATTATTCTAAATTATGCTACCTGCATTTTGAATGCAAAACTGTCTTTTTGTAGAAATTAGGACAAGATTTAGTTAATTTTTACATTTGCGCAAATTGGGTAAGATGTTTACAATAAATTGTACCCTAGAAATATATCTTATAGTAGTTAATATCACGTATAATTAGAGAAAATGAAAGAAATAGCGCGGTAATAAGATAAAAATATTTTCTTTCCTCCCCATTGCCGACTTTAGATCCTTGTTAGGGATTTTTTAGAATGTCTTTTTAGGCATATTTTCAGAAACATGTATGATTTATTATCATAAAAACCAATTCTTTAGGGAGATTGCTCTTTAAAAAATCTTATTTTCTATTTCTGACCTATGAATTTATTGTTCTAGATCTTAATATTTTAATTCAGTTACTTCGCTTGCATTACTATTTTACATAAATTAGAAAAATACTTTCTGAGTAAATTAACTTTTTCAAATAAAATAGTGCTCAAGAAAGAGATTAACTTGATTCGGGCTCAACAGAAAAAGTGTGCACTTAATTTTTTTGTTTATTTCATCAGACTGGCAAAAGAAAAAGTAGTAAAGATTTATAATTTAATATCGTGCTATTGGGTCAGTAATAGGTTTATAGGTCTATACATTTTACCAATTACCGTCCTTTTTGTTTCAGAAATATGCCTGCAGAAATGCGGGTTAAATATACAAAAGTTCAGCTATCTCGAGCTCTTGAAGCTATAAATAATGGAATGTGTGTCTATAAAGCGTCCAAAACTTTTAACGTGCCGAAAACAACTCTTAGAGATAAACGTGATGGAAAGTACAAAAATGAAAAGTGTGGAGTTCAGTCGGTTCTTTCTAGAGATGAAGAAAGAACAACTGTTGAATGGATTCTCCATCTAGCAGCTCTAGGTTTTCCAGTCACGAAGTCACAGTTTCTAGAAAGTGTTTCAAACCTGGTGAAAAATTTACAACGTCCAAATCCATTTAAGGATGGTAAGCCTGGAAACCACTGGTTTCAAAAGTTTATGGACCGTCATCCTGAAATTTCCAAACGTGTATCGCAAAACCTTACTACAAGTAGAAGTGCAGTTACTGAATTGGCTATTAAAAACTGGTTCAGAAAAGTCGAAGAATATTTTAGAAGCCAAAATATTATGGATATTCTTGAGGATGGCTCCAGAGTTTTTAACTGTGATGAGTCGGCTTTCTTTTTGTGTCCAAAAGAAAAGCAAGTTCTCGTTAGAAGAGGAACCAAGCTTGTTTATAACCGGGTAGCAAACGACGTAAAAGAATGTCTAACTGTTCTTGCAAATGTGTCTGCTGATGGCTCACCAGCTCCTCCTATGGTAATATTCCCCTACAAAAGATTACCAAAATTTATACCATACACTGTTCCTAAGGGCAGGGGTTTAGGCTATACAGAGAGTGGCTGGATGAATTGAGAGGCTTTCTATTAATATGTTGCAAATGTTTTTTACCCCTGGCTGCAAAATCGTGACACTAAGTTTCCAGTGGCTTTATTTCTTGATGGTCATACCTCCCACATATCTTAAGTGAATTTTGTAAGGAGCAGGGGATAGTATTAGTCGCACTTCTGCCTAATTCTACCCACATTTTACAGCCATTAGATGTGGCCGTTTTTAGACCAGTTAAAGCCACATGGCGAAATGTGGTTCATGATTTTAGATTTAAAAACGAAGGGGCAAAAATCAGAAGAAGCGATTTTTCAAATTTGCTTAAAGCATGTTTAAAAATGTCTTAAACAAGAAACTATAAAGAAGCGATTTGAATGCTGTGGCCTTTTCCCTTTTAACCCCGAAAGTATTAATTACAGTAAGCTCATGAAAAAATATATACAAGAGCAGCAAAATCAGTTTGTAATAATACAAAGGATCAAAATGTAACAGGCCAGACAGATCATCATTTTAAAGAACAGTTGGAGGCTCGTCTACCTCTAGCAATACTAGAATTGTTCAAGTCTTCAGGCGATACATGGAATGGAGATCTCACTTATGAAAAACTATTCGTTTTCTGGAAGTCTCTTCAGGATAAACCAAGTGCAGAAACGTATATGATTTTAGATGACACCACAATCATAAATAATATTACCGAAAATATCAACGACTTTGACGAAAATGCCTGGGATACAATCGACTTAGAAATTCAAGGAGACGGCAACCTTTCAATATGCAATATTAAATATGCTGAAAATTGCAGTTTACTAGGACTATCGGTTAACGAAGGCACTAAAAATAGTAATGCACTTAGAACAATAGAAAAAATCTATAATACCCCGGATACATCACCTGTGAAAATCTTACCTCACGATGATATTTTAATTGAAGAACACGCTAGTGAAAACGACACAAACTTAGATGTTGTGGCCATAACCGAAACACCTAAAGAAATCCCCATGCTGCCAGTAGGTCAATCCGCAGAAGAACTTATGTCCTTTAAAGTATCAATGCCGTTTAAAAACGCTTTTTACTTCCCTAAGAAAGTTGAAGATTCGGCAAAGAAAAGAGCTACGAGAAAAATTACTCCAGTAGTAGCAATTTCAGATGAATTCATGGAGTATCAGAGAAGAATCGAGGCGGAAAAAGAAAAGAAGCAACATGAGAAAGAACAAAGAAAAAGTAAAAAAGTAACAAATCAATTGCTGAAGAAAAGAAAATTAAATCCTGAAGATAATTCTGAAAAAAACGTGGAAAAGAAAATAAGTAATTACAACATTGGAGATTATGTAATAACAATATACGAAGGAGAACTCTTTCCAGGAGTTGTTTGTGGTTATGATGAGAATGGAATAATGGCGGGAATAACTGTAAAATCAATGGAAATGAATGGACCAAACTGGAAGTGGCCGGAAAAAGATGATATATTGACCTACGATATCAAAGATATTTTATGTAAAATTGAACCGCCTTAATTAATAAACAGCAGGGGCATTTATAACATTCCAAAGATGGAAGAATTTAAAAAAAGTCAACCTAGTTTTTCATAGATGTAGTCATGTTTTTGTATTCCAAGTAACTATTTTTGTGCTTATTTAGTAACTATTTATTTCACCCAGGTTAGTAAACTTAATTACCCATTTAAATACCTACTTGTTTTATTTCCATAAGCGGTAACAGGTGACAAAAGGTCGGTAATAGGAATAGAAATAGAAGTATAGGGCGCTAATGGGATATATCCACATTTTTTTATTTTTTCAAAACAAGCTTATGGTAATAAACCGCTAACTCGATTTTTTTGTTTCCAATAAAATACTATATAGCACAGATTCTTCACAGTACCCATAAAATAAATACAACTCTAAATAATAATAATACCTAAACTTCGTTAAGTCTTAAGTAGGGCGGTAATAGGTGAATTTACCTTATATAGCTGTACTCCCAAAGGAATCTACCTTAAATAGACCTGTTTTTTACCTGACTGTTGTGGAAGGAGGGAAATGTTTTTCACATACGTGTATATATGTATCTAAAAATTTCTATTTGTTAGGCTACAGCCAAAGATCTTCAGGGATTCTGACAGATGAGATGACATTTGATTCGTCTTAGCAGTGTGAGTGACACTGGCACTATTAAGATTTTTTAAAAACAAAATGGCAGATTTGGATAGAAAGTCAGCCTAAAATTCCTATTTCACAGGCATCAGCTTAAACTGCTCGATGAATTTTGACATATGAATTGTTGGATTCATCTTAACAGTACAAGTTGCATTAGATATATTGAAAAAACCAAAATTTAAGGGCTACAGTTCAACTTGCTTGATGGATTTTGATATATGAGGTGTCTCTAGATTTCTCCTGATAGCAGAATTAAATCTCCATTCTTTTCAGATAATGCACTTGGGTTGCTAGTATTTTTTAACAAATCACTTGGTTAGCTCTTTATTGAACAAAGAGGTTGTAACATATTGTCCTTAAAATTTTGTATCAGAGAAAGCATTCCTAATTTCCACTTTGATAACATCACTTACATTATTTATTTATTTCCTCTTGATAAAAAACATTGTGTAGGAATTGTCTTACATTTTCAAATCTGTTACAAAACACTGTCAAATAGTAAATAAAAAGATTTAACAGCATATATCACAATATTCTTCCACACTATAAAATTAAGAGATTCTTAAATATCTTTAGACTGTGGCAATTCTTTATTTCCAAAGGAAGTAGAATAAACATTTTTAGGGCCATTAATATTTGGGCACTTGCAGATAATTTGAGTTCTATTGGGTGGTATACCTGTATAAAAGTCTTCACTAATCGTTGTATTAATTGAATGCATTTGGCCATGTGTTGGGAATTTTTATCTATTTTTAAATATGTATAAACAAGATTCCAATATATATATATATATATATATATATATATATATATATATAAACCAATAAGTGTTAGTACTCAGAATCTCTTAAACAGATCTCTACATGATGGTCTAGCACAAAACCTGCTATACAACTGATACTTATTTTCTGTTTCATAGTGGTAGAGTAGCCAGCTGGCTAAACTTCGCCTCGCAGTGTGGAGGGATTAATAAAGACTTTATTATTATTATATCTTTTGAATTAGTAGAGATCCCCCAAAATGATATGCCATATCTTATGACAGAGTCAAGCTGTGCATGATACAAACTAATTGATTTAATGGTAGAATATCTCTTAAATTTAATAATAGATAATATAATGAATTGAGCCTCATTATACATAGTCACAGTGCTGCTTCCACTCCATACAGGAATCCAAATACACACCAAGAAATTTTTTATATATATATATATATATATACAGGGTGACTTCGAAGTTGAGTCATTTATTTTAACAGTGAGTAGATCTGATCAAAAGAAATGTTTTTTTCCTTTACCATTTTTCTGGTAAAATTAAAGTAATAAAGTTATAGCCCTTTGGAAGTTTGAGTACCGCCCTGTCTCAATAATAATATTATGTGGTCGTGTTTGGCAACAACGGATATAATCCGCCTTATCGGTTCATCGCATCGGAAACAAAAAAGCGAAAGAATTTGGAAAGATGTTTTTACAATTATTTTTTTCAGTTGTATACAGTCAGTGTCAGTCGGTAACGCGTGAGTGAATAGTGGTGTCTGTTGCGTGGCTCAAACGAAATCAAAAATGGCACATGTTTACGAAAATGCTGAACTTGTGGACATGATTCTTATTTACGCGGCATCATGGATTTATGCGGGTCGGTTTCCCAATCGCGTGCAACCAACCCCTCGTGCCTTTGTTAATGTAGTATAAAGGGCTCGTGAATCAGGTGACTTAAGACCTCACAGTGGAGGGCATGCCGGTGCTCCAAGACCGCACGATCAAATACAGGTCCGCACTGAAATACTTGTCGGGAGGATACTTTATAAAATAAGATAACATTTTTTTTTTTATTTTTTTTTATTTTTACACACATATTTTGGTTTATCTTCCTTCTACAATCATTATCTGAAAAATAATGACTCAACTTCAAAGTCACCCTGTATATATATATTCCACTTTATTGATATTAATATTAGATTTAAATATAAATTATTATTTGAAAACCAATTATGGAGCCTAGAAAATGAAATATCTATATGATCTTGTAATTGTTCCTCTCAGAAACCAGAAGCTACAACTGAGGTATCATTTGTGAATGAAGTTATCAATGCATCAAGTACAACATTAGGTAACTTGTTTACATAAGGGAAAAATAAAATAGGGCCTAGAACAGTCCCCTGTGGGTCACCCATCAAACATTCTTCAATCCCAGAATTGAATTTAACCCTAATACCACCAGAGTTTAAATGGTGTATAGCTACATACTGCTTTCTATTTGTGAGGGAGGCCCACAACCATTCTAATGGCTGTTTTTTTTATGCTATAATGTGCTGGCTTTCGTCTAGTCACAGGCAGCAGCGGTGGCCGCAGTAGTAGACTCTTCGGTCTCCTGATCAGTCGCCGTGCGCTATGCGGGTTCGAATCCCGTCCCAAGAGAAATTTTTCTCTTGGCTATGGATGTTGTGATTGTCCGTAGATGGTAGACGGTCTCTGACTGTCGAACGCAGAGGTACCACCCGGCGGATCTCGTAGGCGGGGCCAGAATGTGTGCATGTTGCATGTACACGTGTTCCCTCGCGACAGTTCCCCCTGTATCCCCCTATAGCCCCACGGTACCCCATGGGTGTTTAGGCATTAGGCCTTCGTGGTAGTCGGAAAATATAAAAAAAATAATCATTTTAGCAAATTTCCCCGAAATACATGGAAACATGGACGCATAAAATCGGTACAACAATTTTTGTGGGAAAACTGTTTATTTGATAACAAAGAATGAGAAAACGTGTTTTTTGGGTTTCAATCGAAAGTGTTGGCAGGAACCAAAAAACTCTTTGAATAAGTTTTTCAGGTATTTATGAGATCTACAGAATGAGGTGTGGTCACACGTAAAAGGATCTGACGAAGAGTAAAGAAGTTCAAAGGCATTTTATAGCAAAATACTCGAGTTTACCTTACCGACATAAATCACAAATCATGCAGGAAGATAATTTCGCCAAATCTAAAAAAAATAATATAAAAAAAGATGCTTTGCGGATCTGAGCCTCCATCCTGCGGATCAGCAATCGTGGCTCTTTCCCATTACGCAACGACGAATCTTGGTTTACTGGATCTTACCACTACACTAAACTCGTGTATTTTGCTATAAAATGCCCTTTGAACGAACCCTGTATATTGCTCAGTAAACTACGACCAATCGACTCCAATTTTGTTGTGGTTACTTAGAAGTATGAAGCCTACGGATTTGAAGAATTTAAAGTAGCTGCGTGAAATTACCGTTGCATTAGCGGCAAGTTCCAAAACCTGCATTTTGCCTCGGTTTTCAGACATAACTTTTTTACTATTAGTCGGATCTTTTTACGTGTTTTCTGCAGTTCCCATAAATACCTAAAAATCTTATTTGAAGAGTTTTTTGGTTCCTTCCAGCACTTTCGATTGAATCCCAAAAAAACGCGTTTTCTCATTCTTTGTTGTCGAATAAAAAGTTTTCCCACAAAAAATAGTGTACCCATTTTGTGTGTCCATGTTTGAAATACCCCCTTGAACAACTTGCATCAATAAAACTAGACTTAATAATAATTTCGCAAACCAGGGGTATTTTCCTTTAATATGATTAGACTACCTATTTAGAAGAGTATCTTGTTCAACACAGTTGAAAGCTCTGCTGAGGTCACAGAAGACCCCAACAGGGCCCTCCCCTACATTGACAATGTATGGATAGCAGAGTTTGTGGATTTGCTAGCCTGAAAACCATGCTGTCACTCATTGATTAACTTGTTTTCCTCAACAAGTTTCAGCAGTCGATCCATAAATCCATATTCCAGTAATTTAGAAAAAGAGGAGCACAAAGTAAGAGGTCTATAATTCTCCATTGAATGCACGTCATCTTTTTTATATAAAGGTAAAATTTTCCCAATTTTCAATTTGTCTGGAAAAAAAAAGATAAATTCATTAAAAATGTCATAGGGTAAGGACTTCACGTATCAAAAAGTTAGGCACCTCATCCAGGCCAGATGATTTTTTATTGTTAAATCTTCCAACGATAAGTTTGTAAAATTCTTCTTCTAAAATAATGATATTCCAACCACATGAGACTGGATTGTTAGATTCATTTATCTTCTGTTGATAAAATTTGCTTCTTGCATCTTTTATTAACTTTTGGTGCTGTCTTTTTACATTTACATACAATTCCTTAAATTCGTCATTGATTTTTGTTATTTGGAAAATCAGTTCGAGGTGACCACTTGATTGCCTGATGGTATCATTAACCCATTCCCTGTCATAGTTTTCTTGTGTTGCTTCAAGTAATTCTCGAAATAAAAATTGAAAACACTCATGAAGTACGAAAAGACAGCTCCTATATCTCTTATACCATACACATGTGACCACTCCTCACTTCCAAAAGCTAGTTTAAAATCTCTCACCGAATCCGAATTAAAATTTGGAGAATAGAATGATGTGCATTTATCACCTACGTAAACGTTTAGATCAGCAGAAACAATCTTGTGGTCACTAATTAAATTGTCAGACACAGAAAGTTCACAAATATAAGATCTAAAGTGGAAGAACATTGTGATGTGACCCTTGTTGGGTCTGTTACAATATTAAAAAGACCGAATTCCAAATATCCATCAAATCGTTAAAGTTCTTATTTTAACTAGAACAATTACAATTAAAATCTCCACTTAGCACAATTTTTCTGTTGGGTTTAAACACATGTAATAAAGTTCCACGCAAATGAACTAAAAGACACTGCACACTAGATGAAGGCGACCTATAGCATGACAAAATTACATACATAGCACCATTCAACTTACAGGTCAGCCCTCAAACTTCAAAAATCTTATCTTCACAAAACTTGTCAAGATTTATCACATTTCCTCTTATCCATATCGCTACTTCACCATCTTTAGAAGTCTTCATACAATAATTGGTAGCCAGCACAAAGTTCTCCAAATTTAAGGCCCCAATTGATTCCGTACATGCCCAGGTTTCGGTAAGGCATAAAAAAGCAGCGTATTGTCAGAGTATAGGTCACAGTTAATTTGAGCGCATTTTGCAGTGTTCAATGCTTGACAATTCATTAATAAACGTTTATTAGGTTGTGATTTTATCCCTGTCTCCAAAATCTCGGTTTCCTTTTGTGAAAATTTTGCTTGTTGTTTTGGATGTTATTCGGAAATGTTGAAAAAAGCTTCACTATTATATTTTCTGGCCACAGGTCTGTATCAAAAATGCTCTCTACATACAGGTTTGACAGATATTTTATAGGACAGCCCTGTTGATGTAGCTTCTTTATTTGATACTGTTTGGTCACACGCAATTACTGGTATGTTGTGCTCCATCAAAAATTGCTTTAACTTTTCTGATGATTTTGTACTTACATTGCCCACATAGTATGTTCTACAATCTTCTGCAGCAGATATAAAGGAATTATCCTTACTTGAGCCTTTTATTATGTTGCTTGATGCATGTGCTGGTTTATTTTCTTTCAACCCAGTCCCCTTATTCTTCTTAGCTCCTGCATCTGTGGTAGGTGAGTTAGCAGCTGTCAAATTTATGTATTTATTGAAGGCTCCTAGTGAAGCTGCTTCTAAGACAGCAGGCACAACTTTTTTCATTGAAAGGCCATCCGTTTCAGATGATTGGCATGACGCATTTGCAGTTAAATTTCTCAGAAACTCTGTGTTTTCCTTCCTAAAACTACTACCAAGGGATTTAGCAAGCTCATCATTCTCTTTTTTTAATAACAACTTCCAAAGTATCAATCTGACAACCTGCTTCACTTATACATACTTTTATCATCTCCTGCAAGTTGTTCTCAATTAGATCACTATGTTTAGTTTTTCCTTTCTCCTTTGTGACAATATGCAGGCGCTGTTCAACATTATCAAATTTGTTATTCAGTTCAACTATCTGACCATTTTTCTTCGTCAGCTTCATTTTCTTTACATCATCTTCCACCTTCTTCAGCATTTTTTCTACTTCTCCGATTTGAGCTTTTTTCAAGGCTTCGTCAAGATTATTATTTTTGACTTGGATGGTATACATATTTTCTTGAACACTTTAACAATGCAATCTGGACAGAAGAGGAATAACGACCTTGATTTCATTATCATGACACGAACTTCTGAAGGGCTAATATCAGCGCAATCGGCACAAACGACTGCTCTACAAATATCACATGGAAAACCAAATACTTCATAGTACATTGATTTTTGCATTTGTAACAATTCATAGCCATATTGACACCTAAGGATTTTCGCTGAGGAACGTCTATCACAGAATTCCAGAATTTCAATTGTATTGCACGTTGTTATTATTGAAATTTTTACAATAAAGCAATATTCCAAGTGATGCCTTCAATTTATATTAATTAGTGCTACTTAATTCCGATCGTATTGAAACTTTTGGCTATTTAACACTTGAAAGAACACCAAGTAACACAATTTCTTGTGTTACCTAACTTTTTTCAACGTTGGTCTTGTTTTCCTTTATTTTATGTGTCTCACCAGGTATTTCTATTCGTAAACTTTTCTAACTTTCCGTTTTTGATTGCTGCACACTGCGCAATCCAGTCTTCAGCACAGCGGCTACTCTCTCTTAGTTTAGTTGAAGCTGGTAGCTTTGCCTATTGATCGAATGTCCGAGCATTGCTATAATTTTATATTGAAGATTGACAAAAGGAAAACTCGAATTGCACGCCAATGTCAAGTGAGATGTCCTGCGTTTGACAAGTATAGTTTAAGAGCACTCATAGGTATCACAAAAATGTTCGAGATGGAGGGACACAACTACAAAATGTTTGTTTCTGTGTCATTGCGTTCCCTAACCTCTTAGCTATTTCTAAGCTTTCATATGCGTGTGAGTTCTTAAGACTTGTAACATAATGTACTAATTTTAAATCATTTATATCTTATGGATAATGAAGACTGGCGAAGCGACAAATTATCGCTAAAAACCTTAAAACTCTCATGTTGCTTATTCCAATGACTATGAACGGCGGCGGTGATGTTAGCGGTGAACGAAGATTTTCGTAATGGTTCGTCGTTTAATAATAATAAAGCGTTTATTGCCCAACAGTACAGGTACCATTTACAGAGCAATACATAGTACAGTGGTTTGATTTAAACAGACTGTGTTCCATAAAGTGAAACAAAAAAAAAACTAAAAAGAGAATGGCGCTTCAAGTAGAGAGAATAGAAACTATGAATATGATTCAATAGATATTAGGAAACCAGAATATATATACACATATATGTAGCCGTATCATGTAATGTTCACACATAAATATTTAACAAACGAAAACGTCTAGAGAAAGGCGTAAAAAAATAATAGACAATAAGTGGGGACTGAAGTGTAATTCGCATAAGACTGACTGTGTCCTGTTCAATTTTGCGCGGAATCATCGATTTGTAATTAAAATCGGAAACGAGACGGTGTCAATAGGTGAAGAAATAAGGTACCTAGGAGTTGAGCATAACAAGACCCTGTCAGCGAGACATCACATCAACGCTCGCCTACGTAAAGCTAAAGCAGCACCTGCGTGTTGGACCCCAGAATTGGATGGAAATCAAATGTCGAGACGCGTGCATTGTTCCCATTTTGGATTATGGAACTGTGTAACTTCTACCAAGGATAAGTCAGACTAGCTTGAATTCACTCGAAATACGCTTGAAGAAAGCCTATAAGGTTGCAGTTGTCTTCCATCGAAGCAAGTTTGCCATATCACGGCAGCAAATCTGCAACTGAAAATGCTAGTGAAGCTACAGGAACAACCAATCACAGACCTACCTGTCCACTTAGCCCTTCAGCAGCCAGGGTATCAAAGGAGAGGACAACATAATATCTCACAACCCTCCGCAAGGACTGGAGGAGGAATTTCTCTGGCCTTAGCACCCCTCCTCCACCCATACAAGGGGCTTTATAAAGCCACACGAGCAGAGCAGATTTGATGGTAGCTGCCTTACGGTCATACAATGAGATCGCTCCTGCTAGATATCTGGCACAAATCAACTAATATTACTCTCATTCGGAGAGCCTACTGAAAATCTTAAGCGAAATAGACGGGCAATATGCGGACGGTGGAGCAGTCATGTATTGTTAATTTTTTTGGAAAAATAAAATAACTATAGTGTTGAGTAAGATAAATAAATTTTGATTGATTTGTTCTCCAGACTATTCTGAACAAAAAAGGCCGATTTAATGCCTAAAAAAACCCAAAAAATATGCATTCAATATTTAAAAACTCGGTAAAAAATTATTGTTGTTGAGGTTGCCGGGGGTCTAAATTAAAGTTGAAACCTTTACCTCTTAGACACCGAAGAGGGTTTATTTTAAAACAGTTTTTAACCTTGTTTAGCAGGCTAACAAATGGAGAACTTTTGATTTTCGTAAACTTTACATTCCTTCCCTCGCCCATTATTACTAATTCCTTATCTTTGGTCACACAAAAATCCAATTTAAAGGCAAAGAGTGTTTCAATTGCAGCACCGCCAAACACAGTAAGAGGGAAATGATTTTCAATGCTAAAAGATGTGCTATTCCACTTCCAATGCAACGTTGCTACTATAAAGGATTATGTTCTGTACGAGTTAGACCCTCTGAGGAAAAAGTTAGCTACAGACATGTATAACAAAAACCATTACATGGATCAAGACAGCCAAACAATCGCATACAGTTAGTCCATAGTCACCACTCATTGCTATCGCATCTACTTTGACAGCCGTTGAGCTACTCCGGTCCTCGTCCAAATTGTCAAACATGTAGGCACATGAATCTAGTATAAGCTAATTTGAGGAATGTGTGTTGATGTTCTTTAACCCATCAACCCATTATGTGAATTCTAGGCGAGGTAGCGCTCCACAGGCTAACCTGGTCACGAGCTTGGTCCTTAAGTCCCCCTAAAGATGGACTGACAGTCAACTGTATGGGTTGGAGGCCCGATGGAAAAGTTTTAGCTATAGCATATAGCTGTGGTATGTTTAAGAAAAATATTAGTGTTTGTCTGGAATCACATGGACCGTCATTTGTATCCATTTTTTGTTAATTCATATGGGCAAACCTGTCCGTTGCCAAATAAAACATTTAATTTCTGAATAGGTGCAGGCACCGCTTAAAAAGTTTGAACATTGAAGGTTTCTGATCTCTTACCCAACTATCCATTGCTAGTGATTCATAAAATCTATTAGGTTTTTATTGGCTAAAAAATATTCAGAAACCGGATGTTTGATACTGTTGAAATATTGTTTAAATGAATAATGTTATTTAACCATTATTTTTAATTATCAAGTTTTTTTCTCAAAAATCTCAATATCAACAATTCATAATGATGGAAAGTTGTAATGGGGAAGAAATACCCTGAAAACACTGAGAGAATTAATACGTTTCACTATCAAAGGTTATGGAGGCAGAAATTGCATATGCATATTCATTTAAATAGTATTGAAAAAATATTTTATATCTGATAAAAATCTAAAATAATAACACACACAACTTGATTTATTCCTTTCCAACATAACAAACACTTTTTTGTACTTGTCTAAGGAGTCTCCTACAAGATCTCTGAATTGCAACATTATTTCCATATAGCGATCTTTGACTAGAACAGTTCTAGATAGACAGCTTTTAATAGTTTAAACATCAAGTTGCTTGAAGAAAATTGATATCTGTAGAATGCAGTTTTTCCAGAAGAATCTGCAATGTAAGATTGAATCAAATGATTAGGAATTTGGTTTGTTTCAGTGATAAATGTAGTTTTATTGGATATAATAATAATAAAAAAAACATCAGAAGTTCGCACTTCTGGTTTTGAATACTCAAGTGAGTTCATTTTTTTTATTATTATTCTTAGATGTCACATACATAATCTTGGATTACAATAATTTAAATAGTATTAATGTTAGGGCCGTATCGTCAGTCGTTCCTACAATATTGTAGGACGCCTTTATGGCCTCCTTCATTTTCAGAGTTTTCTATTAATCCGTGTCAGCGCTCTATTTTGAGGTTATGTTACAAATACCTATTTGCATCAAATTGTTCATGATTTTGATTTATATCATCTGTTATATCAGCCTGAAATTTCCTGCAATTTAAAAAGAAAACATAGTCTCACAATAGGAGGACGCTGACATGGAACTGTAGAAATCTAGAAATGCCCCAGCCTTTCTTAAGAGGAGAAAAGACTATGATAATCAAGGCGTCCTACAATAGTAGGAACGACTGACGATACGGCCCTTAGTGTTTTTTTTAACAGCAAATAGTTACAATATGAAATTACCTCTTTTAACAAATAAATCATACAAACTGGAATATGAGATCCTGGCTATAACAGAACTACGCACTTTATGTGTTACCTGCTTTATTAAACTTTTATACAATGTATTTTTAGGAAGAATACAGTTAGTGGGTGTTGAAAATAAAAAGATTTTGAATATACAAGATATAAAAGCCAATATCACATGCCTTACTTGGGTACAAGAGAAATTAGAACCTCCCCCTAAGGACAACTTCAATTTCAAGGACGGTAAACCAAATAATTATATGAAGCACATTGTGAGTAAAAAAAAATATTTTATTTTAGTAGTACTAAAATATATAGTGTCGTGCGAAACTGTTTCCGACGATTCATTAATGCGTTTTCAAGTTGAGACTATAGCCCGGAATTCGGATGCGTTCAAAATTGCAAACGTAGCGCTTTCGACCAACGAATTCGAACTAGGTAGAAGTTGTGGTCTACTATACCCTAGTCAGTAGTCATGATGCAAGTGCATACTGCAAGTCAATCAGGTTTAAGCAGCCTGTCTGACTGTTGTTGATGCTTTGCCTTAAATTCGTATTTTTCTGTGAAATCTTATAAGGTTTCCATATAGTTCTAGCGATTCACACAATAGGGAATATTCATGTGATTAAAATATCGGTTATTTTAATTTACAGAAAGCTACCTTGCACCTCATTTTATACCCATCCGCTATAAAATTACGAGTATTAATTAACAAAATAAATTGCGAAAAAACGCAGCCCCTTCTAACCTTCGTTGTTTCCGACTGTGAGAAACGTTGCTGGGTGCAGACACGTGTTGATACAAACCAAGTTTCTTGAGCAAAGATAAAAAGTTTAATGCGGGTAAGAAGCTATTAGATGCTAAAGTGTCATTTCGCACAGTGATGGCGCGACTGACTCTGAGGCCGAACTGCGCGACCAGCGCCATAGTTCTCACGCAGAAAAAGTTTGATTACTGAAAATACTTGTTTCGGCATTCCATTGTCTGCATTTTAAGATTCAGGACGTTTCGCTTAATGACGTATCTTCAATCGACTTTAGAACAGGCTTGCATGTTTCTGGCTTCCTATATTTCCAGTTGGTCTATCGTCATTGGTTGTAACGCGTTTCTGCTCGAGCGATTCTGTCTCACGTTGAGCTGTCGGAAATGATTCTTCGATGGTCAAACTTGTCGAGTTCTGCAGGGGTATTTTGTAAAAAACCTAAAAAACGTATAAAGAAACGACGAAATGCCATCTTGCAGACTAGGTTAGTGTGCAAATACACAGTTCATTCCACGTTTGCTCGCTATGATCGCTGTTCGCTGACGTTTAAGCAACACGTACAGCTACAAAACGAGTTCACAACAAGTATACTAACATCTTGTAGAAAAACCTACGTTATGTCACAAAAAACCGACGATACGTAATACCCGTGCGGATGTATTTTCGTGATTTTCTTTATTATCGGTTTTATTCCTGTATTCGGTTTGCTGCAAACTTTATCATTATTGATTATGCAGGCTGCCTCCTTGAATTTCCTGCGCTATTACTGTGAATACTTTTGGATCTGTTTTGCAGTATTTTAATTAAATTAATTTTGTCTCAAGCAACCAGACTGCATATCTAAAGTCAAGTTGTTACCGATAGTGTGTTATTCATTGGTTATCGTCAGCCTTTTTGGCATCTGATACATCTTCATAACCTGTAAACGCCGGAATTCTGCACTCTGCTGGTAGTCAAATCAAATCACATAATGCCTCAAACTACGCAACTGAGCTGTACTTGCTGCAAAAAACTTGGGGATGACAACAAGTTTGTGAGCTGTTCTGTGTGCAAAAATCATTATTTTTACAGCTGCGTTGAGTTGTCCCAAAATGATGCCAAAATTTTGAAAAACAAATCAAACGTTTATTTCACCTGTAAAAGCTGTAGCATGATTTATGCTACATTATCTGATCTTCGAGCACTGGTCATTTCTTTGCAAGAGGAAATAAACGCTCTCAAGTCTACACACACTGACACAGCCCAGACGTCACCGTCTGTCGACTATGAAGATACAATTCAAGAAAGTGCAAATCAGTCCAACGCTCAATAGAGGGCTCATGTCACTGAACAAGTCAAAAAGATTATACAGGTCTTGGATCATGATGTTAATGCCGATAGTATTAAGCCAGTTAGACTAGGATCTATCAATAACGAGGCCCATGAAAATAACACTTAGGGATGAAGATGATGTTCGTGATTGTATTAAGTCAGCTAGCAACTTAAAGAGGACCAATGTTTTCTCCAGGATTAGTATCTCATTTGATCGTACACCTCGACAGATCTTGCATTATAAAAAACTGAAACAGAAGATGGAAGAACGCTGTGCAAGATGGCTTAAAGAAGTACGTTCGTGGTGTCCCTAGACTCGTTTCGGAAAACTAGGAAAGCCCAACAAAAATATCCCTATTCACGGTTATTTCCAAAATGTGCCCGGACTGAATACCAAATTCAATGAATTTTACTCCGCAATTTTGTCTTCTGATTATGATTTTGTAGGACTTGCCGAAACGTAATGTGAGAAATTCGGAACTATTTCCTCCTGAGTATTATTGTCTACCGTTGTGACCACGATTTCTTAAGAACAAACACTTCTGCGGAGGAGGAGTTTTGCTTCCATGTAAAGATATGTTTAATATTGAGTCAATTAATCTTGAGCACATTCGCAATGAAATTTGCTTAATCGATATTCTAAGAATCAAGTGTACTATAGGATTTAATTCAGTATTTATATATGTCCTGTATGAACCACCACAAGTAACATTTGTAGACCTTGAAGCATTCTTGGAATTATTTTCACAAACTACAATAAGTCAATTAAATGTCGTAATTCTATGAGATTTCAATGTAACAAATCTTGTTGATAATACAATTGTTGATAGACATTCGACTGCACTAAACAGATTTTTGGAATTTTCAGGTCTTTCTCAATTATTTTATACATTAAATATTTGTCACGCCTTTAAAGAACATTTTTAATTATTCCCTCAGTACAGCAACTTTTCTTACAAAGTGGAAACTGGCTAGAGTGTGCCCTATTTTTAAAGTTGAGGACCCTAGTAAAATCGAAAATTACCGAGCTATATCTATATTGGATAATTTTGGAAAGGCATTTGAGATATCTGTATACAACTACATCTGTCCTTTGACCTCGCATCTGATATCTGAGACGCAACATGGATTTATGCGCAATCGCTCTACTATTTCTAACTTAATTGAAATCACCCAGAAAATTGCAGAGGTCTTAGTTAATAGAGGTCAGATGGATGTGGTCTAAACGGATTTCTCAAAGGCCTTCGATAAGATTAGTCACCAAAGAATCATAGATAAACTTCAGAATTTTGGTTAACCTGTCCTTCTCTGTTTTTTGCCGATGATTTAAAAGGATTAGCAGCATTGATGACTACGGTTTTTTTATAAGAAACTGTAAATCATTTGGTAGTGAGACGGCACTTAAGGCTTTATACTGCACCTTGGTGCGTTCTAAGCTGGAATATGCATCATGTGTATGGCATCCGTATTACCAAATCTATACTAATGAAATTGAAAGTGTACAGAGGAGATTTCTTAAATACTTGACTTTCAAATCAGATGGTGTTTATCCCAATCGTGGGACTGCCCAATCAGCGATGTTGCTCAGATTTGAAATACATCCTTTTCAGCAGAGAAGAATTTGTAATAGTTCTAAATTCCTTTACAAACTCGTACACAGTGATGTTGATTCTTCAGCTGTATTAGCTGAAATTGATTTTCATGTACCGTCCCTCATTTCCCGAAGATTTCTCGCTTTTTACTTAACAATACCAAATTCTAATGTTACGATTAAGTCACACCTTTGGGTCGCGTGACAATACAAAATGCCATTTTGAATCCATTATTGTGGATGCTACAAAGTGGCTATTCGTCATTTCCATGGCAACCCCTATCATATGGGTATCAAGTGGAAGGGCTTGAAGAGAGAAACACTATAAGCAAGGTGACGCCATTCTAAATCCAATATGGCCGCGGCCTCAAAATGACGATTCACATTTTTCACAGCACCTCTATGAGATGGGTATCAAATGAAAGGGCTTGACAGGAGAAAAAACAATAAGCAAAGTGACGTCATGCAATCCAATCCAATATGGCAGCCTCCGCAAAAAGGCGATTTACATTTTTCATAGTTATCAAATGAAAGGCTCGATGAGAGAAACGCAATAAGCAAAGTGACGTTCTAAATCCAATGTGGTGACTGCCCCAAGATGGCGCTTATACTTAGCATAGTCACTCCCTATGATATAGATATCAAATTAAAGGGCTTTATGAAATAAACATAACAAGCAAAGTGACGTCATTCTAAATACAATATGGTGACTACCGCAGAATGGTGATTTGTTATTTCCATGGTAATCGCTATGATGTGAGTATCGAATGAAAGGGCTTAATGAGAGAAACGCAATAAGCAAATTACGTCATTCTAAATTCCATATAGCGATCGTCGCAAAATATCGATTTATCGCTATATGATTTATACTTATCGAAATTTTATAGTAGAAATAAAGTAAATTACCGAATTAGTTATTTGTTATACTAAAAAGTAAAAAATAAATAAATTAAAAAAATATAATTTTAATAAAATTCCTTTTTTTAGCTTTTAATAAAGTAAACTAAAAATAAAAAAAATATTTTTTTCCGCTTTTAAACATTTAAACTGTAATGAACCTCCTCCATCTAAAGTTTTCAAATTGACAGCAGGATGGAAAAGGATGTAACACGTTTTTATTTGAAAACTTTGGATGAAGTCGCTTCATTATTGCTTAAATATTTCCAATCGAAAAAAATATTTTTAAATTTTTAGTTTACCTTATCAACAGCTAAATAAAAGCGTGTTTTTAAAAATGTATTTTTTATTTTATTTATCCTGTTTCTACTCGCTGGGTATTATGCTTTGCCGTATTCGCAGCGTACTTAATATATGTTTTCTTTATTTTTTGATTTTTTTATTCCTGGCATTGGATTTTGTCAGTATGCTGGGGAGCTTGATGTAGAAAATCTCGTTTCTATCCCATATTGTCGTCCTATTCTTCTAATGGTATTTGATAGGCCTTCAGCTTATGGAAGCATAAAACTCAGCAAAAACAGGAAAATCATAAGTAGCAGACTACTCGTGGCCACAACATCACAGCATAATCTGCGAGAGTGCTAGCGAGATTGACAAGGAACCTCATTCGCACCGCAGGAAATTCAAGTAGGTATCCTCCATAGTCAACA